AAATTGTGAGTAAAGTGCTCAGGATTTTTACTGTTCTTTGGTCTTCTCCTTGTGGTTCTAAGGATATATTGATTCTGTTGTTCAGGAAAAAGGAAGGTAAAGGGTCATGATTTTTCTGTCTTCTTGGAGAAGTAAACCTGTTAGTAATATAAAATGCCCCATTTTGTTCTATTTAACATTTTTGCATTTTCACTGATACTAATATTGCCTTGCCTGCATTCTTTTTGCTACCATTTTGCCTGTTATGGCATTTTGCCATTTCTTTGATTTCAACCTTTCTTTGTCAATTGGTTTTAAGTGTGTCACTTCCAAAAGCATATGGCTGAGTTTTTTATTTAACCCAAACTGATCTCTTATCGTAAAGTAGGGTAATTTCATTTATTCACATTCTTGTATTGATTGATCTCTTTGGTCTTACTTTCTTCATGTTATTTTGTCCTTTTAATCATACTTTTTTCATTCCTGTCTAGTTTTCCCTTTCCTAACTCTTGATGATTTGAATTTCTTTGTTCCTCCCCCACCCTTCCCCCCACACACCATGGCTTAAAAGGTCTGTATCTTATTTTTCCTCTAGAAATGGTTACCCTTAAATAAAAAATTAAAACCCATACTTCTCTATTAATGTCAAGAATTAAATGGTGTCTACTTCCCATCAAGGTGGGACCATTATCAACATTTGTTTAAATGTGACTGTACATTTTCCTGCTTTTATTATTCATCACTGTTTCCTGTGTGTCTTGTCTTGCCCTTTCTTGAATTACTTATTCTGATACAGCTTTTATTTGGTTGGAGTAATTCCTTGAGTAATTTTTTTTAAGAAAAGATAAGTGGGCGGCATACTATTTTTAGTACTTCTCTCTTTGGCTTTGAGACTTGGCTGAGTAACAGATCTCAGGGTTTTAACTCTTTTTCCTCAGAGCTCTGTAGTCTTTGCTCTGTTGCCCTCTAGCAGTGGGTGATGTGGATGTCAAGTCCAATGTCAATTTGATTCTCGGAATTTCTGTAGGGACTGTCAGAGAGGAAGCTGAATTTATTGCTCCCTGTGTAAGGGGGAAGATCACCTCCAAGGAGCCATGTCATGTCTGGAGGACCAGGGAAAGGTGGGGATTGGCTGAGGATTAAAAGTCTCTAAAATGGGGTATATGGGACTGATAGAAACAGGGAGGTGGAATTTTAAGGTTGGCAAAGGCGTTAGACAAGCTTAAGGCACAAACTATTGATTGAAGAGCTGATGGACCCTTCAGGAAGTTTCTGTAATGAACAATCAAGGCATTTGTCAGGGCTAGAGTCTCCTGGAAGAGGCAAGCCATGCTAATGAAGACAGTAAGGTGTGGGGGCAGCTGGTTACTGTTCTCCCCTCCCCGCCCCCACTTTAGTCTCTGGAAGCCTGAAGGATTCACTCGCCATCCTTGGATTTCAGGAATTCCATCCAGCCTGCCCTGCCCCAGCTCCCACTGCCTGTGAGTCAGTTTCCCTGGTGTTTGGCAGGTGGGCCTTTCCCTGCCCTTGTTGGGTGAGGCTGGCTTAGCTCTGATTAGATTTTCTGTCACTCCCACTCATCTGCTTTTCCTCACACTTGCTGACCAGCTGGTGTTACTATGGGTCTGTTCTTATTCATACATTTCTCTCTTTATTTCAGTGATGTTTGGGGGAGAAGAGGTAAACAAATGGACCCAGATTGCCATGTAGAACCTCAGGGGTTGTAGCATTTCACAGTGGACAGGATGCAGGCATGTCCACCAGGTCTCCCACCTGCCTCCGGAGGCTGGGAGTGATGTTCAGGTGATGCTGGCCTCACCCGTGGGTGGGAGAGTGAGGCTCCCTCCCTCCGACTTCATCGCATCTTCTCCTGGGGCCATGCCCCTGAGCCACACCCCTGGTCCTGACCGAATTACCTCACTGACTAAAATGATCCGGTGACCTCACTCCACCACAAGATCAAGCCCAGGCGATCTCATCTATCAAGTTCTTTCCCCTTCCCAGCTCTCCCCTCATGAGCTATCGCTGCACCTCACCTCCAGCCATGTGTGCAGCAGGCAATGTCTTGAACATTTGGCCAGTTTCGGGTCTCCTGTCTGCTTACACTGCTTCCTTTGTTTGAAATATCCTCTCTGTCTCTCTGCCACATGTTCAGACACCATCCAAATCGACTGCTCTCTTCTCCATGCCTTCACCATGTGGTAGCTTAGAATCAGCGACACTGGGGTGCATTCCTTTGATCCCTTGCCCCTCCCCCACCCCCACATGTGATCCCCTTGAACGTAGATACGGAATTTCTGCTGCTTTTTATCCCTAGCACCTACCTACCACCGGGCCTGACCCAAAATAGGCACCGAATGCATGTCTGTTAAATGAATGAACAACCGAATCAGGTTCTAAAGAGAAGTATTGTACGCTGACTGTGTGAGACACCTACCAGGCTCTAGGGCTGGGGATGAGTCAGGCTGAGGTGTGTGCAGCCCACAAGGGCGCTAAGACACCTAGAGTCTCTGTGCACATGGGCGCTGTTGTTTATCTTGAAAGGCACAACAAATGTGCTCTGGGTATTCTGGGGAGGAAGGACTTAAGTCCAGTTTGGGGAGCTGGCTGAGCCTTCTGAGGGAGAATGGGCAGGATTTGGCCGTGTGGACCTGGTCGTGGGGGGAAGGAGTAGCTTTGGAACGAAGGCTCGGAGGTGGGAAACTGTGCGTACAGAACAGCGTTTCTGAGAAATTGGTGTTTCTCACTGGGCAGGATCAAGCACAGCCGTTTTCAGTAATAACTGAAATCTACTGGAGGGCGTGAGGTCAGATCTGGGGGTGATGGGAAACCACGGAGTGGCTAAGAGCTTGGACACCAGGGTCAGGAAACGACAGGTGGAAGCCACGGAATAAGTTCAAACCTACTGTGTGGTGGTGCGATGCTGTTCTGGGGTGTGGGACAGGGCTGGCTGGACTTGAAAGCAGCAAGTATGGTGGGGGGTGGGGACAGCAGAGGGGCTTTGGTTACCCATACATTCTGCGGGAACCAGCAGTGGAATGCAGCTGCCAAAACACTAACTATTGCAAGGCTGTGTCAGTAAAAAGCATGTTTCCCAAGAGGAAGAAGATGACAATGGTTCAGGCCTGGGTGCAGGTGACCCCAGACCTGGATTACCAGCTCCACTCTGGGGTAGTATCCATAGCAATGACACCTGCCGTACCACGTGCCAGACCCTTTACAGGTGCTGAGTCATTAAAACCGCAGGAGGTACATGCCATTCTTAGCTCCACTTTTTCAGACAGAGCAAGGCTGAGCAACCTCCCAAAGCTGCAGAGGTAATGAATAGAAGGGCCAGGATTTGAACCCAGGCCTCTGGACCCCAGAAGCCACATTCTCACCATCACACCACACTGCCTCCAGCAGATAAACCAGAGTATAGTCCCAAGGGAGCAGCATGGATGTGACATACCACCCCACACTCAACTCACCTAAAAGAACTTGGGCTTTCTGGATTATATAGCACATTCCTCGGGATTTTCTTGTTTGATCCTTACACTAGCCTGGCAAGTTGATTATTAAAAACTGATGCTCAGGCCGGCCGAGTGGTGCATTGGTTAACAGCTGGCTTGAGACGCCAGCTCTGAGCAGCAGGGCCCTGGTTCGGATCCCACATGAGGGCCAGTGATGCTGCGCCCTCTACAGCTAAGATGGTGAACATAGCTCGACCTGCAGCTGGGCTGCCATGAGTCGCCAGCGATGGCATAGGCTACAGTGGGGCTGCAGTGGGCTGCCATGAGCTACTGTGAGTGGCCGGCAGCCGGCATGAGCTGCCAAGAGCCGCAGTGAGCGGCCGTCCAGAGGCCAGCGACCGATCTGCCTCACCCGGGAAGAGCGCAATGATAATACCAACATGGGCCAGTGAAGCAATGTCCTCCACAACTAGACTGAAGAACAAAACGACAGCATCTTGTCTGTTCCCCTTCCCCCAATTCCCCAGCGCTGTTCCCCTGCCCCAATTCCCCAATAAAATGTTAAAACAAACAAACAAAAAAACCTGATGCTCATTTATTCATCCACTCATCCAGTAACCATTGCTGAGCCCCTGCCTTGACCCCTGAATGCTGTGTTTTGCTTAGTGATTTGGGGAATACAGTGTGCTCTTGTCTATTATTGTATTTAATTCTCGTTCATGCCTGAATACGGGTCACTTTTGCAGGTTGTATTAGTTTTCTCTTGCCATGTAACAAATTCCCTCAAAATTAGTGGCTTAAAACAATACCCAGGTGCTAGCGCACAGGTCTGTAAGTCAGAAGTGGGGCATGGAGGGGCTGGATTCTCTGCTCAGGGTGGAAACCCAGGTGTCCCAGGCTCAGTTCTCACCTGGAGGCTCTGAGGGGAAATTCCGCTTTTCCAAGCTCATTCAGGTTGTTGACGGAACCCAGGTTCTGTTCTCTTTCTGGCCGTCAGCTGGCATGGGGTCAGGAACTCTCAGCCCCCGGAGGCGGCCCTCAGGTCCCTCCCACACGCCCCCTCCATCTTCAAGGCAGCACGTGCCAGTCAAATTCTTCTCGTGGTTCTAGTCTCTAGGACTTTCTCTCCTGTGACCAGCCAGAGAAAACCCTGTTTTTAAAGGACTTTCTTGATTAGGTCAAGCCCACAGAATAATCTTCCTATTATAATGTCAACTGTGCCCTGTAACATAACCTAATGATAGGGGTAAAACTCCATCATATTCACAGTCCTGGGGATAATGGAGGATGTTATACCAGGGGGACAGGAAATCTTGGGGGCCATTTTAGAATCTGCCTGCTATACTGGTGAAGAAATGGAGGCTCAGAGGCGTTGGGAGCTGGGTACAAGGTGGCCCCAGGCTACCCCATCCTCCCTGGGGAACATGGGGATCTAGCCCTGCTCCAAGACAAGCAGCTTCAGAGGAGTTGGGGGCCTGGGCCCCCTGAGGCCAAGCAGAGATTGTTCTGTGTCTAAAGAAGTTGACCAAGCAAATTCCTTGACCATATTTTTCAACCGTCCCCCTGCAGGATTCGAGACACAAACCTGGCAGCCTCGAACTAGTTCATGGAGGAGCCTCAAGAGATCCTGGCCAAGCAAGCGCTCCCTTCCAGAGGGAAGAGCAGAGCATGCGAGGAGGGCAGCTGCAGCAGGAGTGGACATGAACGCTGGTTTTCAAAGAGAACAGCGTTTTAGTTTTGGTCATCGAAAGTGGTGCCTTCAGCACAGGTAAGAAATGGGCTGTCACTGACTATGCTTGCTGGGGCCGCCATTTTGGTCTTTCTTGCATAAGCTTGCTAGTGCTCTTTCTCTTTAAAATTTATTATTATTATTACTATTATTATTACTATTATTATTATTATTATTATTATTATTCGGTGGCCTCCCTTGAGCCTCTGTGAAAGTGGGAACTTCTTGGGACTTCTTTGGCCAGGAATAGAGACCTTGAGTGGCATACTCTCTCACTGACAACACACTATCTCCCCAAAAATGCAGTCCTATGTCCCCAGTTCCTCAGTTTCTATTCTGACCCTGGCAACAACTCCTCTCGAGGGACCACGGCCCCCCCACGTGCCAGCCCCTACTGTGTTCTCCAGCTTTCCAGAACTCCACCCGCTTCTCTGCCCCCTTTTCTGCCCTCCCCCCGTGAAGGTTCTTTGCCTAAAGAGCCCCAGCCCACCTACTCCCTAGTCAGAGGAGCACAGAGGGTGCTGAGGACTGAGCACCATCTCTTCAGGGCCCTCCTTGCTGTGAAGACTTGAAAGGACATCAGGCTTTCAGCCCTGCTACACATTAGAATCACCTGGAGAATTTTTTAAAAAAATTTCAGTAGCATCTCCAGAGATACTGACTGCGCAGGTCTGGGAAGAGGCCTGAGCATTGAGGGGTGTGTGTGTGTGTGTGTGTGTGTGTGTGTGTGTGTGTGTGTGTGTGGTCTCTTTTTTGTTCTTCAGGTCTGCATTGTGGTTTTAGGTTAGAAGTTCAAATTGTGGTTCAGGTTAGGTGTGTGGTGTTAGAAGCTCCCTGGGTTGGGAATATGTCTTGGATGTTTTGTCTGAATGTGGATGCATCATAATCACCCAGGGACAGTGGGGAGCGTGCCTGGCTGAAAAAAAAAAAAAAAAGGTAGCTTCCCTGGCCCACCAGTGCTCTCTAAATCGGGCTCTCAGGGATTGGGTACACAAGAATCTATATTTTGATTCTGATGCAGCCAAGGTTTGGGTGACTTGGGGGCCCTGGAAGTTCTCATCTGTGTTTGGGTCTGTGGGCTTGGCTGTGAGTCCCAGGGAGCGCTTCCCAGCCTGGCGTGCCGTGAGCAGTGCCTCCTTCCCTTTCCTCCAAGTGGAAGTTTTCTCATGGAGAGGAGGGCAGGGCTCAGGCAGCCCTCAGAGATGGCACCACTGTAGCTGCCGGACCTGTGGGCTAGCTGGGCCCGGGTCTCTGCCCATCGCTGGGCCACACCACATAAGCTCCCTGGGCCCAGGCCATGACCAGGGTTCTCAGCAGAGGTAGAGGAATCATCCCCTGGACCCCGAGGAAAGACTGGCATGTGAGACTCATTTTGAGGGGGATGTTTGACGTGGTGCGTCATAGTGAAGGCTCTGGATCTTTTCAGGGTCAAATCCCCGCTCCAGCAGTTGCTCAGTCTCTTTCCCGCATCGTTCTCACTTGTAGAATGGGAAAGTAGTGGTACCTACCTCAGAGGGCTGCTGTGAAAATACAGATAAGGCCCCGAGAATGATGCTGGACGCACAGCAAGGGTTCCCCAAACATGAGCAGCTCCTCTGACTCGTGCAGGCGCTCAGCCACCACTCTGTCCTCCTGGTGGCTACACTGTTACATGTCTGCCATGTTCTGCCATCGGGTCCCAGCACAGGAGTTCCTAAGAGTCAGGGTGAAGAAAGTGACTGACACTGCACATGGGCCCTGGCATGTCACAGACAACATGGATCCTGCAGAAAACCCAATGAAGCTGGTTCTCTTTCCCCTTTTGTAAAAATAAAAAAAACAGCATAGAGAGGTTCAGTAATTTAAAGACAGTCACACAGCTAGTAAAGAACAGAGCCTCTGACTACAAAAGACCCAGCACTTTCTTCTCTACGAAGATGCTTCCTGAAACAAGGTAGTAACAGCTTCACGAATGACCCCTCCCTGCCACCCCCAGGAATACCTACATTTTAACAGGAATCAATTAGTGTCATAATGAATGGGTCCTCCTTGGCATCCTGGGATACCTCCTGGCTCCTCAATTTAGCATTTGTTTTCTTCTGCACATATCACAGCCATTTATGGGTCTCCTCCACTGGCAGTCTCAGGGCAGGGTCTGGATTTATTTAGCTAGCTGTGCAGTAGACACTTAAACTAGGCTGGAAACAGAAACCTCTGAGGGATGCAAGCAGAGATACCGGGGAGCTGTCATGGGGAGTGCAGAGCAGGGAACCCTCCCCAGACCTGGCGTGTGTCCTCCCCTACCTCATTCCCAAACTCTCTTTTTGTCCATGTGGACTCTGCCAGCCGCATGGAAGAATCTGTAAAGGATGGGACTGGCTCAGAGGGAAGTGAGCTGTGAGTTCCAGCAAGAAGTCTGGTCCCCACCCCTTCCGGTGCTCTCCCTGGGGAATAAAAGCATCCGTGATTAATGGGGTGCTGACTCAGTGCTTCTGGAATGTCCAGGAGTGTCCAGCAGCTTGTGGCCCACGGCTGGCACAGCTTCCCCTGCCACCCGGAAGTGTGCTGGGATATATGGCCTCTGAATGAGGTGGAGGGCTCAGGCCCAAGCAGGTGGGTGTGCCAAACAGGAGCCCGCCACGCGCCAACCTTCGGTGGCCTCGCAGACTCCCCTGTGCTGGAGAGGCCTGTTAACACTATCTGAGGCTTGGGAACGGCTATGTTTAGAATTATTTGAGGGCAGGGAGAGGTAGAGTCAGAGCCTCCACCCCCACCCCTCTAGTAGGAACCTGGACTGAGGCTTTCTCCAGACTAAATGCGATTTCTGAATTAGTGACTAGAGGATGAACCCAATTTGAAAATGGGCATGGAACCATTTTCTCAGCAGCAAAGTTCTCTGCTAGTAGTTTGCAAACTTTCACAGTCTTAGACATCATTTTTAAAAGTCAAATCCCGCATGGAGTGTCAATAATACAAAACAGGTTAAAGCGATAGTTTATTAATACACATGCATTAATACGCATTTCTTTTTAAGTTCAAATTTTTAACCTCTATTTATTGTGAAAGTCCATCAATAGAACAATGGCTCGGATGTATACAAGCGTTGAAATCTCGGGATCTAGATCAGGGGTGGGCAACTTACAACGCATGGGCCGACCCCAGGCTGCGGCTTGATTTTGTATAAAGTTTTATTGGAACACAGCCATGCCATTCATTTACACACTGTCTATGGCTGTTTTCCCACTCTCGTGGCAGAGCTGAGTAGTTGTGCTAGAGACTGTCTGTCCCCCAAAGCCAAAAATATTTATTATTTGGCCGTTTATAGAAATTTGCTGGCCTCTGTTCTAGATGATCATTGTATTGCTGTATCAGCAATAACATCCTACTTTTTCATGGTTTTTTTTTTTTTTTGGCTTGGTTGCACAGTGTTAAGAAAATTCCAAATTATTTCAATAAGAGTCTGTGAATGGCAGCAGATTTCTGATCTCTGACCTTGCAGCCCAGGATGGCGTTCAGTTCAATATGATGTGGACACTTGGGAAGGAGAAGGAGGGAATTCTGGTTTGCATCACTGACCGTTTCAAACAACGGCTTGAATTCCTTCTTATTACAACACTCAGACAGGAAACACACAGTCACTTAGGGCAATTTTGTGATAATTCGTGTAAGTTGTTCTGGTATCACTGCAAGCTTTCGGGTGCACTTGTTTGTGTGGTTTATGGAAGCGTGTATAGTCCTGAATTTAAACAACAACATAAAAATGTGCCGTAAAGAGCTCCGGTCCTTCTAGGTGAAGACACATTTCAATCCTGAAGTGCGAGAGCTAGCCAGGCCATAGTCTGAGGTCGGCACAAGCCAAATTTAGCTGGCCGCACCCATTGGCTGTACTCAGTGCGTTCCCGTGTGCCATAGACCATGTTTGAAGGTGCGGGTCCGCTTTTCGTAACAGTTTGAATAGGAGTCAAGCTATATTTTTAGAATCAAATCCTCACGTGACGTTTGAAGAACCTCTGAAACACGTCCATAGAACACATTTTGAAAACCGCCCCCTTGTCAAATATTGGTGGTTCTCATTTCTGTGCTTAAGGATAACGGAGAAGCCAAGGATGCTGGGAGCTGGGAGGCAGAGAAGAAAGCAGGGAAAGATGGTGGAGGACAGAAGCAAGGCTACTGGGCGGGGAGAGGGCTCAGTCCTGGAAAAAGTCCTCAGGAAACACAGAGAAGCTACCTGAGCTCCTGCCAAAGCTTAAGGTGTCTCCTAACAATTGTCGATGACTTCAACACAGCTCTCAAGGGCTACTCTAATGAGTTCTAGCCATCGGCTTGGAAGAAGAGATCCGAGAGAACATGGGGAAAGTCCAAACTATGGGGAGAGAAATGGGGGTTGGAGAGGGGTGGAGTAAGCATACAAATGGCTTCTACTCAGTATGCAAAGGGCATCTGAGGCCCCTCAGCAGGTCAAGGTTGGGGGAGGGGAGACAAGGGAGAGGACAGGGATGGCAGAGGGGTCAGCGTGCCAAGCCAGCTCTGTGCAGGAGGAGGGCACATGAACATGGACAGTGCTTATGAGCGACCCCAGGGAGATGGTGGATGGGGCTGGGCAGTGGCTTTGGGCATTCGAGGCAAAGCCCACAGAGCCAGGAATAAAACCCAGGAGCCCCGACTCCCAGACCTCCTGCCTTCCCTAGGTGGGCACAAGGAAGGGACGGGCAGGCCTGCTGGCTCTGAGAGGCTGTGGGCTGGAGAAGGCCTCTTGGGGATAAAAAAGCATCAGTTCTTTCTGAGGTTTTGCTGCTCACCCAATAGAAAAAGAACATTTTTAGATTTTAAAAGGATGACCTCATTTTTTTTCTTATTTACATAGCCCTGTTTGTTTATATAGTCCTTTAAAAATAGCAAACGTGTGCTAAGCTTAGTGCTCTCTTCCACCGCCAGCAGCAGAGCCACTGTGTGGGGAGAAACACCTTTTTATCTAAGAGAGGGGCAGCCTTGTTTCCGAGGACAGATGGGAGCAAAACGGGACAGGTAGGAAGTTTCGCGGTTTTTCATGTCGCTTTTCC